TCAGTACCCAAAGCACTGTGGTCCATAGGCCTGCAGCAGATCCTGGGAGTCTGTTGGAAAAGCAGAATCTTAAGCCTTGAACTAGACCTACTGGATCGAGTGTGCATGTTTGACAAGTCCTCAGGTAATTCACATGCACACTGAATGCGTCTGTGAAGCACTTCTCTGGGGGCAGTCTGATCCCACTAGGAATACTGAGCAAAGCCAACCTTACTCGTAGCTCGAATGAGGGAGCAGGTCCAAGGAGGTGGGTCCACTGTATATTTTGCTCCTCTTCTTGTCACTAAGCTCCTCGGGGACAAGCAGGGGAGGGGATTCTTCTCTTGTATCTGCACACAGCCACAGCCAGACAAACACACAAAGCTGTGGCCTCAAAAGGCCCCTTGTGTGTCATCTCTCGGGACTAAATTCTCCTTAACCAGACAACAGCCACCTTCCATGACTCATCTGTAGAAGCACAAGCAGTAGATCCCCAACACACGCTTGGACTGAGTTTCAACACCTCTGCTTTGAAAATTCCACCAGCTGCGCAAGGCCCAGTGTTTAATGAAGAGCAACCCCCTCCATCCCCACTCCCTCTGCCAGTGGGCTGCAGTGCTTAGCCACACACTCAGAGAAGGACTACATAAAAGCAGAACCCCTGGTTGTTCTGTGATATCTACAGAGATGCTAGACGCTGTGGCATGCAAACTTATGGAAGAAGAAAAATAAATGGCAGCCATAAAAAAACAGGAAAGGAGTTTCCCTGTGACAAGAAGCCCCAGCAGGAGGATCCTTCTGCTGACATGTGACTTAAAAGGTCAGATAGGGGTGCCTGGGTGGCTCAGTCCGTTGAGCATCCGACTCTTGATTTCCACTCAGGTTGTGGCCTCAGGGTTGTGGGATTGAGCCCCACATCAGACTCTGTGCTTAGCGGGAGTCAGTGGAAGATTCTCTCCCTCTCCTGCTGCTCCTCCCCTTGCTCATGCACACATGTGCACACACTCTCTCTATAAATAAATAAAATCTTTAAAAATAAATAAATAAAAGGTCAAATTTAATGACTTATGAACTACACCCTGCTGGCCCAGGCCCCCTGCTCACCTCAGCTGCTAACCACCACCCAACCCCACCCCACCCCCAACCTGCCCAAACCCCCCTGCTCCTGACAGAACAGCCAAGTATGAGAAACCCTGAGATGAGCAGCAAAGGGGAGAGGAGGCTTCCTTCAGCCCACCTTTCAACCCTGACTGAGGCCGTCTCCAAGGAGCCTGCAGCTTGCAGAGCTGTGGCCACCATCAGCTCCACCCTGGGCCACATGTGAGCAGAAGGATGGCTCAATATCTTAGCCCACGGTCTCCACTTCCGGGCCCTCACTTCCTTCCTTCACAGAGCAATGATAAAGACCCAAGACAGCTAGAAACCACCCACCCTGTTACTCCACTGGTAATTCATTTCTTTTATCACATTGAGGCCCCAGCCTGATACCTCATGCCATTCCAGTGCCACATTTACCAGGTGGCACTGCAGCTCTCTGCTGACATGTCCTAACTAGGCTCCAAGGATCAGGGTGTGGCTCACTCCTCTCGGCTCTCACATCTGGCACAGTGCCTCACCTTTGGAACCTGTTCTGTGTAAATGTTTGGGGACCAAAAGAGCAGAGGGGGCAATGGAGCCGATTACAATGTGACAGATCATCAAGGATGAGCCATCACCTTTGGTAGGAGAACAGAAATACATTCTGGTTACAAGCCTTCTTTAGGGCATGTCACTGACTCCCTCATTTTCAGAGCTGCTCTCTTATCTTTGTCGTGACCATCATCACCATGCCGCCACGAACAGCAAGCTTGAAAGGTGAGAGGTGCCACTCTTTTTCAAGACGTTGGAGGTAGCATAAAAGATTAGAATCAGGTTCTAGAACCAGAAATTCTTGGGTTTGAATACCCGTTCTACAAAGCATCAGTTATGAATCTTGGCCAAGTGACTTCACTTTGACACTGTTTCCTTGTCTATAAAATGCAACAAGGAATACCACATCCTCATGGGGCTTTGGTTAGATGGTACATGTAATAGTACAATCCTTTTGACTGTCATGTTCATTTTTATTCCGGGTCTCCAAGCAGCTTACTCAGGCTGTGCTAAAACAACCAGTGAATAAACAGAGTTCCTTTCCTTCCTCTCTGAGGCAAAATGGCATGGACATAATGAGGCAGGGCTGCACATCCATAGTGCCCGGACATGTAACACAGATGAGCCAACTTGTCAGGTGCAAACAAAGCAGAATCACACCCACACAGACATCTGCCCTGTCCTTTTCATCTTGAAAAAGACCCCCTTCGCTTTCATTTGCCAGTTTGAAGAGACATGAGTATCTGGGTGATTTTTTTCCCTTTCTCCTTTATCTATCGTAAGAAGGACAGCACAATTCTAATGCTCAGTGGCAGTCAACTCTCAGACTTAATGGAAGACAGAACGGGCAGAAGGACGGGGAAATGTCAGAGGGGAACAGGCTAGTCCCAGGGTCAGGGATCCTTAGAGACAGTCGCCGCTCAGTCCAAGCCAGTGGTTATTAGAACCCAGTGGTTCCAGTCCTTTTGATAATTCAAAGATTTCAGAATTTTTAAGTGTTATACACATTTAGCCACAAGACACAATGGCAAGCTTACTCACTGCACCATTAAGTGCAATACACACCAAATGACTGGAAACGACCTGTGTCCATAGGTAGGGGATTGGCTGAATAAATTAGGGTACATCCCAACAATGGAGCATTATGCCCTGTCAAAAAAAATATCAGAAAGCTCTCAACATACTAATAGGAAAAGAGCACCAAGGTAAATTAAGTGAAAAAAAAAAAACAAGATTAAAAAAGGTGTGATACTAAGAAAAAAACATGACGGAGACATCAGGTATATTTGTACTGATCTGTATTTGCAAAATGAAACTCCAGAATGATGTATAACAGTAATAAAGCTGATTACTGTCCCAGGAGGGGGCAGGGCAGGCAGATAGAGGCCAAGATAAGAGTTCCCTCTTCCCAGAGTGATTTTACTTTTGAACTTTGTAATATATTGCCTATTCAAAAAATTATATAAAAATATTTTATTAAAAAATATATTTTATAAAAAAAATACACCAGCCACTGTGAACAAAGTCTATCTGCAGGCTACAAATGGCCTGTAGGTCTTTGGTTTATGACTTCTGTGCTAATGGGTCCTAAACTGGGGAAGTAGAAAAACTGGCAGAAAGGGAACAAGTTTCTCTACATTTGGAAACAAGCAGGTTATTGAATATCTGTTATCTGAGACTCCCTGTGAATTGCCTGGCAATTAGCTGGCTGGGTCCAGAAGCTTCTCCTCTCCCAGGGGAAGAGGATGCAACTTCCCACAGGATAAGGTGGGGCTCCTCTACTTTCCTTGAAAGTTAAGGCTGGAACCCAGTGGTCTGCTTTTTCCCCTCCATGGAGGCCTCTCCTCAACTTGTCTATAGAAAGGGAGAGTGATAGGTGTGTGGAGGTCCACCTATGGAACATGGGATCCTGGTGTGTCCAGCTGGGCCCTATCTCATGCAAACTCCTGGAGAACACCAGAGGACAGAGAACAGAGGACACATGCTCCTGCTGACTCTTCTCAGCACCAAGAGACACTCTTAATATTCACCCCCTTGCCTTTTGTACATGCTTGTCTTGTCACCTTGAATGAGCTCACTTAGTGTTCTAGGTTGAATTGTGATCTCCAGTAAAGACTTGTTGAAGACCTAACCTCTAGTACCTCCATATGTGAGCTCATTTGGAAATAGGATCATTGCAGATGTCATTTGGCAAGGTGAGGTCATCCTGGAGTATGGTGGGCCCCTAGTCCAACAAGAAGACAGTCACGTGAAGATATAGATACAGAGGGAAAAAGCCATGCAACAATAAAGGCAGAGCATGGATTATGTGGCCACAAGCCACGAAATGCTGAAGATTGCTAACAAACCCCCAGAAGATGGGAAGAGGCAAGGAAGGATTCCCCTACAGATTCGGGAAGGAGTATGGCCTTGCCAACACCTGGACTCTGGGCTTCAATCCTCCAGAACTGAGAGATGATACATTTCTGCTGTTTTAAATCACCATGTTTGTAGTACTTTATTATGGCTGCCATAGGAAGCAAATACACCCCAGCAGCTCTAGTGGCAGAGGTATCTGATGCTCTTCCATCCCAGTAGGTACTAGGAAGCCATTGATGGCAACTCTGATCCAATGAATGAAAACCGGGACCTGCACTGATTGGATTTTATTGTATAGGTATGCAGTAAAAATCAATAATTACTAAGTACTGACCTTGTGAAGAACATAGGGGATATAAAATGTTCAATTATTGCCCTCAGGGAGTTGACAATGTGGTTGAAGATTTAAGACAGACATGAAAAATTATAATACATATATACATACACTGATACACACTATATATGTGTATGATACATATAATACAATACACTTCACAGAGGCCAAAGAAACATGACCTCACCCCTCAGCAGATACTATAGAAGTCACTCCTAACTAAATCCCACTAGCCTGCCATCTGGCCTCAATCTTCTACTATATTTCATTTTAGCTGCTACTGATAATGTGTGTTTGGGAAAGTGTTAGGATGTCAGGCGAGTAGTCAATTTCTAGAAGCTGTCACCACTGCTCTGGGCATAGAACCCAAACTTGTTACCCACTGCAGACACCCACTGCTGTCTGTGATCATTACCTGCTACCCCTGCTCAAAGACTTTCCCATCAGCTCCCTTTACCTATTCAGAGACAAAGACCCTAGATTGACGAGCCTATTCTATGGTTTGCCACAAATCTGACCTGCAGGAAGCACAAAATCCAGGTAGTTTGGCAGGTTGACTACAAGAGTTTTTAAGAGAGGTTACAGAAACTCAGAGACTCCTACCAGAGCTACCGCATCATCATTCAGAACATCTGCTTACTTGGCCCATCCTTCTCGCAGGCTCCCACTACACTTGCCTCTGGGAACCTCTGATTCTTACCGTAAGGAAGGCCCGTGTCCCTTTGCACACCTGGGTTCGGGGAGGCAGCCCACCAGGACTGAACTCTCCCGGAGCTCTTTCTGAAGCCCAGGCCTCTGGGTCAGGCTGCTCCAGGAGGAAGAGACGTGGTCGTGCGGAGTGCCAGGTGGACACCCAGGCTGGGCTCAGTAGGAAAAGTGGCAAGTCGCTGCTGCTCCGCCCTTGGCAAGCAGCCTGCTGGCGTGACTTTGGCTCCAAGCCATTCTCCTGAGGGGCAGCTTTGGCCAAGGCATGACCTGCAGATGGAACAGACAGAGGAGAGGTCTCTTCGCTTTGATTTCAAATAGTCATTATAGATACTCAGAGCAGAAAAGGTCTTTGAAGTCACTTAATTTCTATCCTGTTACTTTTCAAATAAATTTCCAGCTAGGATTTGGGTCTGGTTTTGAAGCAGACACTGCTTAGGCAAGCAACACCCATTTCTCCCCTGTTCCTCTCTAACAGAGCTCCAATGATGTCACCACTCTGGCTAAGCACCCGGCCGGACACTTAGCCCAGGGGCCCTATGCAGTCAGAGCAAATGCAGGCCCCTGGTCCGTGAGAAAGGCAGGAGTGGGTTTCTCACTCTCTCTGGTCTTAAGATATGAGAGGGGCCTCCTAGGGGATGTTCCTGGAAATGTTTTTTTGGCTCTTGAAAAGAGAGATGCTTCACTGCTATCAGAGGTTGTCTTATCTGGCCACATTGTGACCATGACGGGAAGCATAAGAGAAGAACAGAGCAAGAAGAAAGCCAGGTCCTTGATGACATCACTGAACCAATGGATTAAACAGCCCTGGTGTCACCTTTCCTCCAGACTTCTCATTATACAAGTAATACATATCCTTGTTGTTTACATTCACTGAGCTGAGTTTCGGGGTTTTGTTTTTACCATCTACAGCTAAGATTATCCTAAGTGATGTGCATTCAGATGTTCCCAAAACCACAGGACGATATTCCTAGAGCATAATCTTACTGTACTGACTACAACTTCCCAAACGTCCACATTGTACTTTCTCTCCACCTTTTCTTTGGTGATCAGTCCTCTCCCCAGATCTAACCCATGTAACCACCTTGTCAATACAGTATTCAATTCTACAGCATATGCCAATTCAGTCATTGAATTCATTAAACATTTCTGAGTCCCTATGATATACCAGACAGGGACTCAAAAATGAAGTCCCGGAGGATGCATGGTGGGTTAGATCCACTCCTGGCCAGGAGGTCGGTGAGTGCCATGTGTCGAGTGTTTAGTGGGAGGTGCACATCAGCCTGGGTGTGCATCAGGGACCTGGGGTGGGGAATGCTAGCAAAAGCACCTCGGAAAAGAAACTCCGTCTTGAGGGAAGAGCAGAAGAGTGTGAGCAGAGAAGAAGGAGAAAGTCAGACCTTCGTAACCAAGTATATGAGGAATGATCAAAATCATAAACCATGATGGCAACTAACATTTCCTGAGCACTAACAAACCAGGCATTGTTTTTTGTGCTTTCTGAGGATTAACTCATTCAGTCCACCACCAAAGCTGATGAGGAAGCTCAAATTATTAGCCTCATCTTATGGAAAAGTAAACTGAGGCATAGAGAGGTTAAGTGATACAGGAAGTGAGTGGCAGAGGCAGGATTTGATCCTAGGTGGCAGAGCTCCCCAGGTTCACACTCTTGACCCATCTATACCAGTGATTCTCAAAATGATGACCAGCACAACAGCACCAGGAGCCCCTGGGAATCTCACAAATTCAGATCTTTAACTTCCTTTCAGATTTCAGAATCAGAATCTCTGGGGGTGAGACCCAGCATGTTGTGTTTTAATAAGCCCTCCATGTGATTCTGGAAGCCCCATAACGTTTGAGAACTCCTACTCAATACCATAAACACATGATGAGAAAGGATGGCATATTCAAAGGAAGATGAATGCTGGGAAGAGAAGCAAAGCCAGCAATAAAGATGGGGTAGGGGGAAGAACCCTCCATATCAACCTAAGGAGAACGGGCTTCACTGTACAGACATTTTGGAGAAATGTGAGAGGTGAGGCAAGGAAACAGCATGATCAAGCTTTGTTATTTAGGACAAGATCTCTGGAGGAGAAAGGGCCAGAAGGAGGGAGCCCAGGTAGGAGGAGGTACCAGCAAGAGCATGGGTTGCACTCAGTGGTGGCAGTGCAGAGCCAAGAGAAATGGGGATGCAAGAGATAGATTGTGATAATAGCTGGACAGGGGATACGGGGCTGGCAGAGGTATCCAGGGTGTCTCCGTGGCCTCTAGCTTCAAAAGTAGGCTGCTGGTGAAACTATTTAGCCAGAGTGGAAATGCTGGAGGAGGAACAAGCTTGGCAGGGAAGATAAAAAGATCTACTTGTAACATGTGAAGACTGGGTATCTGTGGGACATCAGGTATTTCAAAATGCAATGCTAAAGAAGGATCCGGTACTCAGGGGCAGGGTCCCGGCTGGACATAAAGGTTTGGGGTTCACCAGCAAAAATGTGATGCTTGAAGCCAAGATAAAGCTAAAGCTGATCATAGATTGTGCAGGAGGGGAAAGAGTGAAGGATGGATTCATGTAAGACACTAACTTTTTTTTTTATACAGAGCAAGTACACCTGTGTATGAAAACTTGAGGGTGGGAGGGCACAAGGGGAGGAGAAGCAGAGAGAGAGAGCTGCTAAAGATTGCAGGCTCTATGCCCAGTGCAGAGCCCAAGGCGGGGCTCAATCCCACAACCCCGAGATCATGGCCTGAGCCAAAATCAAGAGTTGGACCCTTCACCAACTGAGCCACCCAGACGCCCCAACACTTACATTTAAGGGATACCCAAAGCAAGAGAGCAAAAGAGACTCAGAAGCAGAGCTTAGAGAGGCAGAAGAAAACAAAGGAAAGATGCTGTCTCAAAATCTAAGGATAAGCCAAGTTGGAGAGTGCTTAAAGAAGTAGAGTTGACCACGGTTTTAAATGGGAAGTTCTCACATTTTAAGATTTAGAAGAAATACTGGATTTAGCAATGAGGAGGTCACAGGTGAACTCCGTAAGAGCAGTGCCAGTGGAGGGTTGGAGGCAGAAACCGGATCCATTCACAGATTCATTCTCTAGATGGGGAACATATATCACATGCCAGGCTTTGTGCTTTATGTTGGAGATACAGGGACAACTGGGACATACATGAATCCAATCCTCACCAGATGGTGGGGAAGACACACAATGAACAGAAATTACAAAAATAATTATGGAATCACAACGAAGACAGGAAGGGACATAGAAACTGCTCACTACAGGGAGCGTACAGCAAGAGGACTAGCATGGAGAGAAAATGAGGGATATAAGTTGGGTCCTCCAAGATGAACAGGGGTGAGCCAGGGAAGAGGATGGAGAGCTCCCAGAGAGAAGGAACAGCAGGTACAAACACCGTCACGGAGAAAGAGCTTTCATGTGTTCAGGAAATCAAGGAAAAGAGCACAATTTTAACGTGGTTGGGGGTGGCCAGAGACGAGGTTAAAGAACAAGGCTCTGTAGGATTTCATCCAAGCAGTGGTAGGAAATCACTGATGTGAAGCTAATAAAAGTCTGGGCGAGTCACAATCTGATTTGTATAAGAGATGACTTTGGCTAATAAAAGTCTGGGCGAGTCACAATCTGATTTGTATAAGAGATGACTTTGGTGAGGGATGAAATGAGGAAGGGAGAGGTGGGGATAGAGAGTGGATATATTACGAGCAGTTGGGGATATGTTCCAGTCCAGATGAGAGATAGTGGTGTCCTGCAGCAGCGTGGCAGATGAGTGGGTTTGGGCGAACAGACTCTAGGGCCACTTAGTAGGTGGCATCAGGAGGACGGAGGGATTGGGTGTGGTAAACAGGAAGGAGGGGTTGAAGCCAGATCAGGCTCTATAGTCCTCTCTACATCCATTTTGGATACTCCCAGATGACCACTGGGATGGAGTAACACGTACCTCTGAATCTCAAGCAGAGATAAGACCAAGCCCCAGTGACTTCGCTAGGACTCAGCAGCAACTAAGAGACAAGTCTTATCAAACCTCCTCTCCTCAGGGCACCCCTAATCCCTTAGAGATAAAATGATTGCTCAGATAGGAGGTTTCTTGAAGACTCCCTTGTTTGGTCATAACTACTTACGAGGCCATATCTTCGGGGATGGGGCACAAAGCAGAATAAGCCTCCATCACTCTGCCACTGGGCTGGGCAAGCCACACTGACTGGCTTATCATCAAGGCATGCATGCACTGGTCATAACATGCATTCAGTACAGTATGGACAATTCTAGGTCTCAAAGGCCAACCTCCATTGGATTACTTTTTCCACTCATAATTCTGTCAATTTAAAATAAATATGCTAGACATCTATTTCTGACATTATGAGAGGCCGAGTACTTTGACCCTCCCAATCAAAACAAAAGAATCTTGTACAAAAAATATTTTTTTTAAAATGTTTCTAACAGCATCAATGAGCTAGCAAGAAAGGAAGGAATTCAGTGGCCAGGCACTCATTCAGATAATGGAATATCCAGGTTCTGATTATAATAATGACTATAATGTAATTAAATAAATTAAAGACAAGCCTGCAAATATGTCTGAGGAATAATAACAACAGCAAATCATGAGAAATAGTCAAGATTTGGGGGAAAAAATGGACCAAAGGGAATTTTTAGAAATAAAAATTAAATAACTCAAATTACAATCTGTGGACAGACTTAATAGCATATTAGATACACCTGAGAAAGAAGTAGTGAGCTGGGAGCTAGGTCAAAAAAAACTAATCAAAATGCAGCACAGAAAGACAAAGACTCAGAAAAATATGAAAGAGAGCTTAGGAGACATGAATATGAAAACCAGCAGGTGTCTATTTGGAGTCCTAGAAAGGGAAAGGAGAGAGGAAGAATCTGAACAGATAATGGTTACAAATTTTCTAAAAGGGAGGAAAGATAAGGGCACCTAGATGGCTCAGATGATTAAGCATCTGACTCTTGATTTCAGCTCAGGTCATGATCTCAGAGTCCTGGGACCAAGCCCCATGTTGGGCTCTGCACTCAGCAGGGAGTCTGCTTGAGAATCTTTCTCCCTCCTTCTCCCTCTCCCTCTGCCCCTCTTCCAGCTCCCACTCATGTAAGTAGGCTCTCTCTCTATCTCAAAAAAAATAAATAAAATCTTTTTTTTAAGCAGTCAATGAGAGGAGACAAGTTTCCTTCCAATGACTATAAGCCCAAAAATGGTGGTCAAAGACTCAACATGCTGAAAGAGAGTAACCATCATCTGAGAA